GTACGCTAGCGTGCGCTAGAGAGGGGCTAGAGAGTATTGAAGGTAGGAGAGTATTTTGTACTCTCCTACTTTCAATACTCTCTAGCCCCTGTCTAGCCCCGTCGCTGCAAGCGCTAGCGGGACTAGAGAGTATTGATGTGTTGCCGCTAGCGTACGCTGGTGACGCTGGGAACGCTAGATCGATATCTATCCTTTCCCCGACACTGCCGCTGGCGTACGCTGGAAGCGCTACGCTACGCTGCCGCAAAGTATAAACGCAGCCTAAGGAGTGTCAAGAAGTCGTAAACCTCTAGCCCTGCCCGACTCGCACCCGAAAAGGATGAATCTCTTAATCATCGTGCAAAGTGTCTTTGAAAATTCTAACTGCTACTATTTTAGATCCCAGAAACTTGGAAGAATCCCACTGGAAAGTGGCATCTTGGAATTAAACCTATTTATGAGCTGTATCCAAAGTCGCTGCGCAAAATCGTGAAGGTATGATTCAGATAGAAGAGGCAGCATTTCAGTGAATCTATTCGTTATCAGCACTTTTTTGATTAAGGACGATTGGCAAAAGGAATCTTGGGATTCCCCACAACAATTGGCCAAAGCGGATGCCCTTCGTCAGCTGCTAGAACATGAAGATACCATCGGAGGATACAGTGACAAAGATGTAAGTGGCGCTGTTCTCGAGTACAGAAAATTCACCTGAGACGACATTTACTTACCTTTAGGTGGACAAACACGATCGCGAGAACTTTGCATGCCAAGTAGATTTCTTGAAATCCGTCGACAAGCTAGAAGACAAAGGACCCGTCGCTGATTGTATCGTTTGGCATGATGGCGATCAGTGGAAGTTAGTTTTCCATTCGCTTTTATAAAGATTCTGTTTGCTTGGATAAATTTTTCTAGAGCATGCATCGATACGTCATTCCGAGGTCGCCTTTCTCTTTGTAACGAGATGGGTGATTTTCGACTCACTGGAGAGTACAATAAACTTTCGGAGAGAGGTAGTATGGTATATTATATTGAAAAATAGGAGAAACCTGTGTTCAGTGCAAGGTTTTATTTTATTATTCTAGACGTCGCTAATTATACTGTTCATATTGCATCACACGGAAATCGTTTGGAAATCTGTTTACCGAGTGGCGCCCATGGTTCCCATGTAGCCAACATTGCGGCCGCTAACTATCCAGACAAGCCTGAACTCAATGGTCTTGCACCTGGAGCTAAAGTCTGTTTCGAGAAGGCCTTTCGATTCGCTTTAAAATATTTTAAAGATTCATCGTTCAGGTTATTTCAATGATGATTTCTGATGTTCGTCTGAATTCAATGGAAACTGGTACATCGTTGATAAGAGCGTTTAACAAATGCGTTGAAATGAAGGTGGACATTGTGAACATGTCCTTTGGAGAAGGCACTCATTTCCCTGACAAAGGGTGCGTCATAGTTTTGAATATCATTAATAGTAAAGTCCACGAATATTCCAAGTGCGGAACTGTCCGCAAGGGAGTCTGGTCTGTTGCCGAAGTCTTGGTCTCTGGTGCTATCGCGCTTCAATTCACACACCCGTTCCGCAGTTACCTGTTTTGTGCAATTCCTTTCCCAGTTCGATTCGTAATCTCAGAGGTCCCACGAATATGCTGTGAATGACTGGGCGTGCGGCCTCACTAATGACATACTGTACACCCGCCTCGTGTGTCCCTCATTGCCGTTTATGAGAAGAATAGGTCTGCAAC